GCAAGTCCTTTTTTGGGCAGCTGGGGCAGCACAGTGTATTTTCCAGGGTGGGTTATGGGGGCACAAACAATTCATTGATAATCAGCACCGAGCTGGGATTCAGATCCAGACAGTGCTGCTTCCAAGACTGTGCTGGGAACCACTGTTCTGCCTCTTAACAAGTGACATTTGCACTGTGCTTCAGAACTTGCCAAGCCTTTCCACCTCCATGCTGGCCCCATGAGGACTGTCCACTCTGTACTTCAGTTGATGACACTGAGTCAGAGACTTCGTGGTCTCTTGTCCAGTGTCACACACAAAGCAGTCCCAGCTCCTCAGTGAGGCCACTCTGGAGGCCTCTGCATGACCAGCAGCAGTGGCCGTTCTGCTGCACTGAGCACTATGTGGCTCAGTGTCAGGAAGATCTTGGCCCTGGCTGGTGGTGAGTTAGGTGGCTGGTCCCTTACTCACAGAGGTGGTGTGTGGGTGTCAGTCCCACAAGTGCCTGGCACAAGGGAAGACACATCTGCCCCCAGGGAGAACCCCGATACGAGGAGAAGAGGGAGCAGGAGGTAGCAGATGTGCCCTGTGCTCTGTGCCCACCCCTTTCAAGACACCACCTGCAGTGCAGACCACGTCTCAGCTCAAGGCGAGCTGCTGGCAGAGCCATGCGGATGAGGCAGAGGTATTGCTGGCACGGAAAGAATAGAGACATCATCCTCATAGCTCTGAAATAAAATGTGTTCAAGGGAGGAAATTTAGCCTGAAGTGGTGCTCATCAGCCTCACAGAGAAGCTGTCCCCCTCCCAGTCACCCCAGGCTGCCTTCTCCCCAAGTGCTCCTGGGTCACAGCCACTGCCGTCATCTGTGGCCAGGCCAACCTCATGAGGGGCTTTGGGACGCCAGCTCCTCTGGCCCTCAGACCATCCGTGGTGGCTGTTTCTGTTAGGTCCCTGGGGCTGAGAACCTGACCTTTAGAAAGCCCCATGCTTCGGTTTCGTTTCTCCCAGTTTCATTTCTCTTAAGTGTCATTCCTCTAAGTCTCTGTTCCCACCAGCAGGCTCTGCGCAGAGTGTGACTCTGTAACTGTTCCCTTAGCACAAGGTTTCTGCCTCCCCACGCCTTAGACTCTGTTCCCATGACCACGCTGTACCCGGAGTGGAACACTGTGGCCGTCTCCCTAGGCTAGGCCGGATGCCAGTCTTTACCCTATAAAAGGAGGCGCCCCGCTGCCTCTCGGCGCTGACACCATTTTTCAGCTCAGCCGGGCAGGTCCACTTGCCGCTGGCTAATAAAATCTGTTTTTCTTCCTTTACCTGGCTCGCGTCTCCTTCCTCAGTGGCCTTACAGTTTCCCTTTGGGGCTGAGCCCCTGAGACCTGGAGGGGGCACAGGGGCCCCTCGGGGCTGCGTCACAACTGCCCGCCTTCCACGACTGGGCTGCTCTGGTGACCACTGATTTCCTGAGAGCTAAAACTGGGCCCCATGTGAGGCTTCTGCCTCTTCACACTCTGGGACCAGCCAACAGTCCCAGCATCAGCTGCAGCCATCGCACACCCCAGCTGGCCCCACGTCCTTGGCCCCGACCAGCATGGACCCTGATTGTCTGTCAGAACTGCCCTCCCTCCTCTCAGCCCAGTGATCTGCTCAGACGTCCCACCTCTGCAAGCTGTCCTGGCCTCCTCCTCTCCAGAGTCAAGGGGACTCTGGTCTGTGCTCATTTCCTGGCAGCCACACTCCCTGCAGGGCATGACTGTCATTCTTTACTTTCCTACCCACCCCCCACCCCCGGAATTGTGGGCCCCCTGTGGGCAGGAGTGGGCCTGAGTCGCCCGTGTCTCCCAGTGCTCACGCAGACCCTCACAGGGACCTCCACACGACTCTCACATGATCCTCCCACAGATCCTCACAAGGACCCTCACAAAGACCCTCACAAGACCCTCCCACAGACCCTCAGAAGGCCTTCACACAGTGCTTGTTGAAAGGTGGCCTGAAGGTGCTGACGGTCACCTGAACCAGGCCCCTACCCCCTACTTAGTCCTGCTGTCTCTGCTCTGACCTACCCAGGCTCCAAATGTGACCCACATGCAGGGCAGAGGGCAACGCCAAATCCTAATTATGATAAATGTGCCATCTCCAAGGCTCAGTGTGCCGAGAACGGGGCTTAATAGCCACAGGTTTCTGACTGGAGCACCGGCCCTGCTGCTGCTGACTCCTGTGACACACGGGCACGTGCTCACCGATATGCACTCAGACACAGGTACACATTGGCACACTCTCACACGCACGTGAACCCTCACATACACACAGTCGCTCCTCAGTCACCCTAGCCACTTCTCGAGTGCTCCATGTCCACATGTGGCCAGCGGCCACTGTACTGAACAGCACAGACTAGAGCATTTTCCTCCTCATGGAAGGTTCTGGTTGACAGTCTGGCCTGCAAGGACCAGTGCACTTGCACCTTTGCAGCTCACCCGCATGTTGTGTTCCCGCTCAGGTCACCTGGATTGCTGCCTCCAGAGCACCATGCCATGTGGGATTGGAGAGAGCCAGCTCTGGGCCTCCCCTAGTTCCCTGTTATCTCAGTCTGAAATACAGCCTGAAAGCCCCTCAGTGCCGTCAAGTGTGCTCGTGACTCCCCGTTATCAGGAAATGCACACTCAAAGCAGACAGATGACGAATCCCACCCCACTTCCCATCTGGAGTTTTGGAGGAGCTGCAGGTTCACCTGCACAGGACAAAAGACGATGCTCTCCCCAACCACAGGAGGAGGTAGCTGCTTCTGCCCCGTGGCCAGCTGTGAGCACTTGCTGTTCACGGAGTCCAACATGTCCTGGAAACACCAGTTAGGAGATCCTCAGCAGCTTAGCAGGCCGGTTCGGGGTGCTCAGCCCCAGCACTCTCCCATCTGCAGTTGATGGAGTTGGGGACACGAGGTTTGAGCCAGGCCACATGGGGCTGGGGGCACTTGTCTGCCCTGTGCACACCTGTCTGAGTGTGTCCAGAGATGAGCAGAGCACTGGCCTGATGGCCCCTGGCCTGCTTGCCCTCAGCACTGCCCGTCCTCCCAGGCCCGCCTCCAGCCCGGGCAGTGCCAAATGCTATGGCAAAATCTCCTGGTCTCCAGGGCAGGAGGGGATATCACACTGAGCCAGGTTACTCTCTCTGCCCTTTGGGTAGGGAGGACAGGGATAGAAGAGTGGGCAAGAGCAACGTGCATGGTGATCAGGAGCATGGGCTGCAGGACGCGCCAGTCCTGGGCTCAAATCTCACCACAGTCACTTACCAGGTGCCTGATCCAAGGCAAGTCACTGAGGCCACTGAGTCTCAGATTCCTCCAATGTAAAATGAAGTTATGGCTCTTAGTTAAAGAATCATCGTGGTGCCAAAATGAAGTAATACATTCACAGTTAGTTTCTGGCACACGAAGGATACTCAAAAATGGTTGCTATGATCCTCCTCCTCCTCCTCCCGAGGGGTGATGGGGTGTTAGTGTGGGCAGGAGCAGCTGAGAAGTGAATGCAAACCGAGAGAGGGACGGGGAATGAGGCCATGCGGCATCTTCCCTGGGCCCCACTCCTGCCCCTGCAAAGAGGAAAGGTCGTAGACAAAGCGGAGGTGCCAGCCCTCAGCGTTCCCCTCTGTGAAATGGGTTGCAGGAGGTGACTGGTTTACAAAATGCTGCTGCATAGGAGGCTTCCAGTAACATGTGCTTCTTTCTCCTCATAGTCGTGGCCTCTCCCTGGGCTTAGGAGGAGGAGGAGGCCGAGGTGGGCATGAGGATGGTAGGAGACTGATTCTGGGTTTCCTTTAGTTCTAGAAGGCAGCTCTCCCGTGAGAGCTGCACTGAGGAAGAAGAGAGCAGCTCTCCTCCCCTCTCTCATGCCCAGAGGGGACATGTGGCCCCAACAACACTGAGCACACTGGGGCTCAGGGTAGGCAACTACCTCCCGCTGGCTCTGGCCTGGAGATCTGGGGATGGCTCACAGACCCAGGTGTCAGGGCTGCACTCCAGCCTGGGCTTCCTGCCCTCCCTCCACAGGAGACTGAACCCTCTTCAGGACCCTTGTGGTGCCGGGTCACCTCTCTCCTGGTGCCCCAGTCCCATCCCACTTTGCCAGCAGAATAGCCCTACCTGAGGGGCACACGTGGCTCTCTGGACTGAGGGAGAGGCCGTGTTCCTCAGCCTCAGAGGTTGGAGCTGCCCTGGTGCTGCCCACCTAGCTCTGGGCTACAGATCCTGGGCTGTGGTACTCAGTGCAGCCTAGGCCACATGTCCCTCCACATCCCTTACAGGGAAGAAAATGCAGCCCACCTGGAAGAGAGTCCTGCATGGGGAATGCAGCCTGGCCACTGAGCTGAGCACTTCCCCGCCACTGCCCTGGACCCGCCCAGTGGTGGGCCCACCCGCTCAGGAGAAGTCCACGCACAGCGAGACCTCCCCTCTGCTTCAGCCAAATGCCCCTGCCACCCCTGCTACCCCCGCCCATCCCCTGTCCTGGGGTCCCTTTCTCATCCCTTCTCTATCAGAGTAGAAATCAACAAATAAATCAGAAAAAAAAGTCTTTTTTCCTTTCAAACTACCACTGTCTGGACAAGTGAGCACACGTTGGTGACTGGAAAACAAAACAAGTCCCCAGTGGAGCACAACCCTAGGGGAGTAAACACAAGTCCCTTCCACAGAGCCTTTCCCTGTGACCTCATCAGCCTCTAGGCCTTTTGTGGGGACCTCCAGGAGTGGCCCTGCCCTCTCTTGTGCTGGTTGGAGTGATGAGCGCCCTGCAGCCTCAGGAGGTGTAGAATCACACAGGACCCCGGCACTGCCCACGCAGCTCTGGACACAGGGAGGAGGGTGAGTGAGTGAGGGTGTTGGTGTGAGTGTGAGTGTGTGAGTGCAAGTGCGAGCTGTGAATTGTGCATGAGTGTGAGTGTGTGCATGTGACTTCTGAGCATGAGTGTGTGTATGTTTGTGAGCTGTGTGTGCATGAGCATGAGTGTGGGTATGTGAGCTGTGAGTTGTGCATGAGTGTGTGAGTGTGAGCTGTGAATTGCGCATGAGTGTGTGTGCATGTGACTTCTGAGCATGAGTGTGTGTATGTGTGTGAGCTGTGTGTGCATGAGCATGAGTGCGGGTGTGTGAGCTGTGAGTTGTGCATGAGTGTGTGAGTGTGAGCTGTGAATTGCGCATGAGTGTGTGTGCATGTGACTTCTGAGCATGAGTGTGTGTATGTGTGTGAGCTGTGTGTGCATGAGCATGAGTGTGGGTATGTGAGCTGTGAGTTGTGCATGAGTGTGTGAGTGTGAGCTGTGAATTGCGCATGAGTGTGTGTGCATGTGACTTCTGAGCATGAGTGTGTGTATGTGTGTGAGCTGTGTGTGCATGAGCATGAGTGTGGGTATGTGAGCTGTGAGTTGTGCATGAGCATGAATATGTGTGAGTGTGTGTGAGACTGAGCTATGAGTTGTGCATGAGCGTGTGTGAGCTGTGAATTGTGCATGAGTGTGAATGTGTATGAGTGTGTGTGTGAGTTGTGCATGTGAGCTATGAGTTGTGCATGAGTGTGAATATATGTGTGGGTGTGAGTTGTGAGTGGGTGTGTGAGTGTGAGTGTGTGAACTGAGTGTGAGCTGAATTGTGCATGAGCATGAATGTGTGTGAGTTGTGCATGTGAGCAATGAGTGTGAGCATAAGTAGGAGCGTGTGAATCTGTGTGTGAGCTGTAGGGGGGCATGAGTGTGTGTGTGAGCTGTGAGTTGTGCATGAGTGTGAATGTGTGAGTTGAGTGTGAGCTGTGTGTGTGTGCATGAGTGGAGCTGTGAGTGTGAGCATGAGTGTGAGTGTGTGCATGAGCATGGATGTGTGTGTGAGCATGAGACAATGCATGTGAGTGTGGATGTGAGGACGACATGGAGGTGGGAGCCTCGTCCCTCCCATTCTCAGTGGTGTCCTCAGCATCCAGGACATGGAACGTGCTGCACAAACATGGTGCGAGAGTGACTGAGGGAGTGGGTGAGTGGCACAGGGCCTTCCCAGCTCACAGAGGAGTACGCAGAAGCCCAGGGAGCCTGCACATGTCAGAGCTGTCACTCAGACCCAGGAGTCCTGACCCCCAGTCCAGTGTTATGTCCTCACTGACCACCAGCTGCCTCTAACAATAAAAATGATGATGTAGAGTGGGCAGCAGGCCCCACCCTCTGACTCCAGGTGGTCTTTCTGGCCTCTGCCCTCCACTTTCAGGACTGGACAGGTGACAGGACTGGGCCCTCAGACATGCAGGGTTCCCAGGACTTATCCACCCACCTGGAACACAGGTCGTTCCCAGGTTGAGTAAGGGAGAGGGGGAGGAGCTTGTCCTGTCAGTGCTGCTATGGGGGAACAGAGGCATTGTAGGATCAGGAGTCTGGAATCCAGAGCCTTCCTCGTGGGAGCAAACCCCAGTCCCTCTGGGCCTTGGTTTACTGGTGTCTGCAGTAAAGCCTGCCGTGGACTGAATGTTCATGTTCCCCCAGATTCTTATATCCAAATCCTACCCTCCAAGGTGATGGTTTGAAAAGATAGGGCTGCTGATAGGTGATTAGATCATGAGGGTGGAGCCCCCATGAATGGGATTAGTGCCTTTATAAAAGGAACCCCCAAGAGCTCTGTCTCTGCTCTCTGCTATGTGAGGTTGCAGGCAGAACACAGACATCTACAAACCTGAGAGAGGCCCTCTCCGGACACTGAATCTGCGAGCACCTTGAATTTGGGCTTCCCAGCCTCCAGAACTGTGAGGAATAAATGTCGTTTAGTCTGTGGGATTCTGCTGTAGCAGCACAAACTGACTAAGGCAAGGCCTGACCCCATGTCCGTGTCCTGGGCTGCTGACCTGTCTCTCTCTCTCCTCCCACCTCCCAAGGCCCTGCAGAGGATTTGAGTGCAGCCCCCCTGGCCAAGACTGCCTTGTGCCGACTCCATGGTGAAAAAGCCTGCCCCAGCCACTGACATGGACAGGACAGTAGGGAGCAGAAGAGGTACCCCAGGGCTGCAGCTTTTATTCTCTGAGATTGGACACCTGCCCTGGGAGATTTCATGAGAACTTCTGCCCCCAGATCCCTCTTTCTACATCCCCACACTCAAAAGCTGCCTCCTCAGAACTCTCTTCTCGGACAGCGCTCTGTCTCCCGAATAAGCCCAGGTCCTCTCTGGCTCCTGCCACGCCCCCGTCCCTCACCCCTGCAGGTCCCAGCCCCACTGTGCATGCCCTCAGGTGTGTGGCCCTGCCTTCGTAGCCGCAGGAGTGTGGTCTCATGGTGGTGTGCGATCCTCTCCCAGGCTGGGTTGGGGAAGCCGCACCCATGGCCGTGGCCGTCCACACAGGTTACGAGCCTGCAGCCTGCATGGAGGCCGCCAGGTGGACAGGAGCACTTACAGAACCTGCCCTTGGGGTGTAGAAATAGCACATAGAGGTGTAAAGCACACTCTTCTGCAGTGAATATTAATGAAACATGCAGCAATGTCTCTTCTCTAGGTTCAACTTTTAAGAAAAGTGAGATGTCACAAACTAGAAAGAAATACAAAATCCTAGTTTCAGTAAGATGATTCCTCATCTTGGGAACTGTTAAAATCAAACTTTAGTTTCCCCATTACAGCAAAGTGCAGAATTCACATGCAATCCCTTCTCAGAGTCAGAAACCTCTGGGGACATACCTAGAACACATATTTGACACCTGGACAGCTTTCACAAACAATTTCTCCAGTCTTTCCAATGAAGCCTCTAACTGTGGGCTTAGAACTTGCCAAAATCGATGTATCAGGCTGTTTTCTCAATATGTCCAAGAGCTCTTACCGCTCTCTTCATTGCATTTGCATGAGTGAGAACTGGCTTTCTGCTCCAGAAGGTTTTTTAAGCCAAAAATAAATCATTTGCCTCCAGCCACCCTGATCTCCACAGGCAGAGTGCAGACCCCCCCGCCCCCCTGGAGCATGGTCGCTGAAGTCAGGAGGGAGTCTCCTTCTCAAAACAGAGGCCACCCTCACCCTCAATTTAAAAAATAACAAAGCGTTAGACGAGCCAAATTTGCTGATTCAAGTTCAGTGCAAATCTGCTTTGAATTGGTGCATGCATTTTCTCCAGACATAAATTAAACGACGTGGAGACTCGAGCACAGCTCAACCTGACCTCCATCCTACTGCCCCCCGCTCCCTTTGTCCCTGACACACAGGGCCACAGTTAGCCTTACTTACCACTTTTTGTTCCACCACATCCTGTAGGCACCAAGCCTTCAGCACTTACTTGGCACTCCCTGCCATTTGAGGTGCTCAGGCTGCAGGAGGCAGGGCCACAGGGCCACCTGCAGAGACATCACCGGGTGGCATTGAAGCAGGACGGATTCAGACAACAAAAGTGGTTCCCAATCTTCGTGCATTGGGATCTTCTGTAGAGATTTGCAAAATGATACCTTTGGCCCCAACCTGGGAGGTTCTGACTCAGTGGCTCTGGGGGTGAGAAATGGTACCTGTATTTAACAAAAAAGTTCATAAGTGATTCGCTGCATAGCAGAGAATGAAGACCACCAGGTGGGGTCCTGGGGACAATTGACTGTCTCTAACAGTGTGAGTCAATGAGCTGGTGACACCTGGGGTTGTTTAATAGTGTAGATGTTTCCTAGTTCATCTTCCGTTTTATTTGAAGCAGGGTTGAACCTGAGACACCCAAAGTGTGAATCACCTTCTTCACCTCCTGTCATTTCAGGTAAAAATCATGCAGTCATAGAATCTGGGGGGCATGAGATATCTCAGAGAATGTCACCTCCAATGTCTCCTTCAATTCGTCTTCAGCTCTTTACTGGAATCACTTAAATGAACTATCTGATCATCAGTAAATTGTACCTCTCATGTGAAAAACAAATGCAGACTCCACGGTAGAGTCCGCAGCTTCTGTCCGTGCCACGTGAGCCGGAACCTGCCTGTGCTCTTAGCGAATCTTCCCAGCTTCCACCCTCGACATGACAGCTGGCCAGTGTTCCTGGAGCATGTGGCCTTCTGGGACAGACCTCACATGGATGCTCCTACCTTGTGTGACGGGTATGACCTACCGACCGTCCTCTCTCTCACTGTGGGGCAGCAAAGAGATGAGAGGAACCAGATGGGTGCAGGACCTGTCTTAGTACATCACCTTTGGGTGCCATTCATCAGGACCCACCTGGGTCTAGGGACAGGGTTCTGAGGTGCAGTCATACAGCAATCACGAGGAGGATCCCAGATTCCTAAGCCTTTAGGCAATCCTCCAGAGAGCTAACGGTCCCCACAAAAATACTTTGGAAAAGGTTATCACAAGCTCCTATCTCACAGCTCAGCTCCCAAGAGAGGGTTATTCAGCAGGAGGGAGAGGATGAACACTGATCAGGAGCTCCATGCCCATGCTGTGCTGGGACCACGCCTGTCAGGACAGGTTCCCAGGTGAGCAGACTGCCTTCACCTCCACCCCGAAAAGAACCACAGGTCAAAGATCTATTTGTACAAAACCCAGTTTCAACTTGCATTTTTTCCTCTCCAGGTTGAGCTCAAATAATTTCTTTTGAACAGGCAGTGTGCCGGCCTTCCTTACATAAAGTGAACTGAAACACGCTAAATTGGTCTGCGTATCCCGTTTGGCTGCTTCCATTGCTTCTGGGATCCACAGCCCAGATGTGGGCAGTGGGTGGTCATTAGTCCCTCCTCCTGCCTCTAGAGAAGTTACTTTCCATCTTATGTGGACGTTCTCCAAGGGAGGAAACTTCACAAGTTGCTTCGATTATCTCCCCCAGGGCCTCGGTCAGCCACTATTTAAGATGCACTTTTTAAAAAAATGTCTATCCTAAATATGTGTTACTGAAACTAAAGTGTGTCTGCTCCCTCGGGCTCCAACCCCCTGCAGTGTGAAGGCGGGGCTGACCCCACAGTCTTCCTCACCACACCTCCCTCCTCATCCCCAGCCTCCCCGGACCCCACCACCTCTCTAAACGTAACGTGGGATCCAGCAACCGAAAGGGTCACTAATGGAAAACGGATGAAATTCAAATAAAGTCTAGAGTTTAGTTCACAGTAACATACCACAGTCAATCTCTTTGTTCTCAAAAATGTGCTGCAGTTATGCAAAATGTCCATGTGAGGGGATGTGGATAAAGCTTTCTTTGTATTATCTTTGCAACTCTTCTACAGATTGAAAATTATTGCCCCCAATTTTTTAAATCAGATTAAGGGAAAAACGTTTTCCTCTGATTAGAAATATCAAAGAAGAAAATTTCCAAACTTATGAAGCCTGGAAGTCAAGAATGAAAACTTAGCTTTACATTCACATT